AATTTCACTCCATATTATCATTACCTCCCGGGTATGCTCAATAGTCGACTATTAGGTTAGCTAACTAGTTAGTGAGTTGTTTTGGTTATTAATACATTGTAATCAATTCTTGATCTGGGTGCTACTACAATGGTGTAATTAAGCGATGGCTGGGACGCTGAGTTAATCTGGGACGTAGTTTCTATCTCACTTGGACGTACTCCGTAGGCTGGTCACCATTCAGGAGTCATTTGATGTAGCCCGTGGCATGTACCCTACGCAATCGATTACTGTAACATCTTGAAAGCATAGGATGGCCCTTGGCCACTTTACCCGGCTGCTCTTTATTTAGATGAGTGTGATATTCAGAATATAGAAGAAAACAATCTGTTTCATTCATTTCAGATATGTTACTCTAGTACAGCTTGAACTTGAAAAGGAACCGCCGTCCACCTCATAAGCGCCACATACATCCAATGTGGGGAAGAAGCAAAGAGTATGAGAAAGTAAATAAGAAGTGGTGTTAATCAAGGACAAAAATGTGAAAAGGAAACAGGAATCCCGGTGTTGTTTGTTTACTTCGTGAATATCAAATCGTCATTTGAGGCAAATTTCCGCTTGCACCGACCATCCAGACATAGTTGGAAGAAGAAAAAGAACCAGATATGGGTTTCGTTGCTCATATAATCCTGAGTCAGATCTGGGGTTTTTACATGCTGAGTATAATGGGGGATCGAGAACGAGGCCAGTAGAACATAAGAAGAGGTATGGAGAAGAAGATACACGTTCTGGGATTTATTCGGAGTAAATGGATGATGCTTACGCACATCTACCACTCGAATTCTCCTTGACCTTTGTGGAAGACGTACCTGTTCACTCGTTAGCGGGAGGCCAAGTGGGATAAGTGATATTGATGTACTTACTCCTTGCCACCAGTGGTCAGGATACCATCTTTGAGGGTGCACTTCCACTTGTTCTTCACGCGTTGAACCTTGTCATAGGTGCAAAGCATGACCTGACCTACGGCATCTTCAGCATCATGATCCTCAGCAACAAGGTCATCAGGGTCGTCAAGATCAGAATTGATGGCATCCTCATCATCCTCATCCCTTTCATCATCACCACCGGGGCCGTCAAATTGAGCACCGAGGACTTTGGGTGGATGAGATGAGGAACCAGCAACTGCTGACACATCAGCTGGCTCTGCTTGGGTAGCCACCAGCCCACGAGTCGATGTCTTCGATGAGTAGTCATGCTCGTCGAGAGGCAGCATCAGACCACCGCCTTCTAACTGGAGCATCTGTTGTCTGAGATGGTCACGAAGGAGACGATCACCTTCTCCTCCTTGGCGTTCGGCAGCTTCCCGCCTCCGTGCAACCTCAGCCTTCCATGCAGACAAGGCATCATCACCGGCACCGTCCGTTTGGGTATTGCCGACAGGGGGTTGAGACACAGGGGGGTACCCCGGTTCTTGCTTAATCTGTGGAGCCTGCCCGTTGGGTACATGCTGCATAGGTTGGGGGCGCGGCTGGCCAGGTATGGCCATGGCTGCTTGTGCCTGTGACTGTGCTTGCAGCTGACTGACTGAGTTAGCGGCTGCAGCTCCGTAACGCTGACGAAGCATATTGGCAGCCCGTTCTTGAGCAGATTGTGGGTTGGAGGAGTTTGGCATCATCATATTATTCATCGGCATCATCCCAGGCTGACCGTTGACGCCGGGTTCGGTCTTGATGTGAGGTTGTTGTTGTTGACCCATGGCATTGGGGCCGGCCCCAACCGGAGCAGGAGCTTGGAGCGGAGGTGCCGTAGCGGGGACGGACTGAGGGATGGATTGCTGTTGGGGAGGGGGAGGAGGAACATGATGCTGTGGCTGAGGGGGTGGACCAGGGCGAGGAGCATTTGACGGCACAGTTGCTGTGGGAGGGAGGATATTTTGTGTCTGAGGGGGAGCGGGTTGCGGCGGCGGCGGATCCCAAGGGAAGTGAGCGACACCCAATGAGGAGAGCTTCTTCTGCCAGCTCTGGGAACGAAGGTTAGCATACGGAGGTTTGAGTTAACAGGAGAATTTGAATGGAGCAAGGAGTCAAAGGGCCAAGTGGTAGGTATAAAAAGGCCTGAGACCGAGAGGTGAAGGGGAAACGGGCAGCGAATGACGATGCTGAAGCGGCTTGGCAGGCCGACTAGGGCGGGTAAAAGCGGCGCGGTATAAAAAGAGACTCAAAAGCAGGCGATGCCCCCAGGCGGCCGCCCTTCCCGCACCTCTCGGACCCCGCTTGGGGCGTCTCCCCCTGGGGCTCTTCACCCCAAACATCATGACTTCTTTTGACCTCAAAAGGATCTTTTCAACGAAAGAAAATGGTTCTTGATGGAGTACTAACCTTGCGCAAATCTAACAGTGTTTGCTGGTCCACACCACTTTCCTCGAAGTCCACCTGGGAGCCATCACAGACCTCCTGGATGACACGATCGAACACCGTGCCCTAGGGATAACTGGTATGAGCCAACATCTCACATGGTCATGATATGGGGTTAGAGCGGGGGAATGGAGAACTTCGAAGGGAGTATTAAGCCACAATCCGCGCTCATCGAAGTCTCCAGCTCTGATAAGGTTTGTTTTTTAAAGATGCACTCACCACCTGCTGGTTCGACATGATCGCTGCTGGGATCAGACAAGGACGAGAAGACGCTTCGTCAAGCCAGGTGAAGGAATTTTAATGAAGTTTGGGTCAAATAAATTTGCTCTGTCTTCTAAGAAAATAGAAAAAAGAACGGGGTGCCTATTAACACGCGAGAGCTCGACGTGAATGGGGGTTGTCGGGCTTATCACAGGTAAAGCCTCGCCGTCGCAGCGGTCGCTTGCCACGGGCGAATGCGACAGTTGAGTCTCCACAACCACTACTTCCGACCACCCTCGAACTTGCACTGCTTCTGTAGATGGTCTTTCTTACTTCAAGAACTCAATATTAGGAGTCTCAGCGCGTGACGAGCCGTAGAATGCCGGGTGAATTCCGGAAGGGAGTTGAAAGCAAGGCAGGCGTGCCGGAGGGATGTGGTTGAGGTGAAAGTCGCTCTCTCCGGGCGAAATCCGCCTTCCTCCCGCCTGCTTAGTCACCACCACCGCTAGTCCCTAGTGGGAGGTCCGGGGGATCTGCCCCGGCGCGACGCAAAGAGCTATTTCTTTGACTGTTTGACTTTTGAGATCTCCAGTAATCGCGGGCTCAGCCTTTCCTCGCCACTCCTTCACTTATCCCTTGGTTGCCAGTATTGTCGTTCAGGCCTCAAAATTATCTACCATCTGCCAGCCGTGTGGGTGTGCGAGGAATCAACGTTCTTGGTTTCCGTCCAGCTCATGCAGGCCTCATGGCATTCTAACTTCGTCTTAATCAATCCGACTTAGCACTGTGGAGCACAACACAAGGAGAAATCCACCCCCAGGCTTCTCCTTGTTCCATAGTAAGGTATCGAAATAAGATTTTTTTTCGCTCTCACACATCAGTGGGTGACAAGCCATTAAATGGTTTCTGGGACCCATTAGACGACTTTGTGAAGCGTCTCATTAAGTCAGACAATCCATTATAAGAACGGACTTTGCCAGAAAGCAAAGTATATAAATCTGCACGGGGATCACCATAACCTTCTTTCTTTGCGGAAGGGCCTCGGGTGCTACCGTTTGAGTTGATGAGACTCAGGACTTCATATAACCCCAGCAATAGGATACTATTGTAGATTACATTTCAGTTTCAGACCAAGAGTCTCGTTAATTGCAAATTGTCAAACCAAAACTGAGCTTGGATGCAGAGTATCAATATCCCAACATTACTCTATGTTTCTGCTGCTTCATAACTGATATTAACACCGGAAACTCATGGTTGACTCGCCAAAAGAGGTAGCAGTCACGGAACAGACAAAACGGTACACTATGGGTCAAATCGATTGTCGGTGCAAGCTATATTAATGGATATCAGCACGCGTACAGAAGATCTTATTGGCAAAAGAACTCCATGCTCTCTAAACCGTTATATCTTCGCTGAGAGTACTCGGATTGAGGTGTGCTAATCTACTAGATTGGAAGCATTGACCCTGTCAGCCATTGTTATGTCTTACAATTACCATAAAGTCTACATGTAGTACTGTAGTCCCTAATTAACTCGATTGTACAGGGCCATCTCTCTAATTAAGAGGAATGTCATTCTCTGGTCACTAAGAAGGAATGCGAGGATTGTAATGTACACGAGCAGAAGGCAAACAGATGAGCGACGAAGCAAAATATAGTCAGATATACACAGAGACTGCATCCTCGTGATCTTCTTATACATCTAGTCTAGATGGATTGGAAAGCAGTAGATTGTGAGTCCCTATCAGGCAACCAGTTAGGGTTCTCCCCCAACCTGCCCGGCGGAGCTTACCCGATCTCGGCAAGGCGCGGGTGGAGTTTTGACAGCCGAACCTTGACCGTTCGTCTTCTCCACTTCATATTGTTCTCCAGCCATCTAGATTGCTATAGCATTTACCTAATGTTGCCGGCGATAAGATATGAAACGGAAAAATGACGCCGTCCCGGAGGCCATGGTGCAACGATGGTCTCGACCGCCCCTCTCCTGCCGCTTTTGTCGAGCGAAGAAGCTGCGCTGTGATCGTACCCAACCTTGTTCGAATTGCGTTCTGAGAAAGGTACCTTGCGAGTATACAGGTCAGGGTCCAACGGATAGTTCGGACGAACTGCGGGGAGCTCATCTATCTGGCAACCAGCCCACTGCTGCGACGGTCTCCACACAACAGCCAGCACCAACTATACCACCCACCTATAGCCAGAACACAACTGCTGCGTTAGTGGGCTCCATGATCTGGGAATGTCATTGTAAATCTCACTGACACAGTTGGAAAGAGATACGAATGATATCTTAAGTCGGGTCGCAAGGCTAGAAGAGGCAGTCTTCGATCGGATTGATATTCCTCGGGGTGAGTTATAACTAGCGGGTTAGAACCATCGTTGCGGGCCTGAGATCGTCCCGATTATCCACCAGGGATGACACTCAGCCTGGCTGGTCATTCAAGGACCTCAATCTAATGCAGATTTAGATCCGCCTGGTAAAGCTACTGGTGCCCAGGGCAGCAACACAAACCAGGGCTTGGTCACAAGTGGTGTATGTATTTCCTACAAGCTCTTGCTTTCGCAAGCTGAAACATTCCTTAGGCACGAGGCTCGAGCAATGGATGTGTCACTCCGCTTACATTGTTACCCCTATCTTCATTACAAAGACGCATTGCTGATCTCTATAACTGCATGCGAGATATGAAGAGCATATCCAGGTGTCTTCCCCCATGGACCCAGGCTCGCCAACTATTAGACCACTTCAACGTAGTCATTCAGCCAACATTCGGGGTGTTCCATATCCCATCCACAAAAGAACTATTAGATGAAACATACAGGGGTATACTTGAGGGCATGGAGCCAAGCCCCACTGTCTTGGTAGTGTTCTTCAGCATCTTCGCTGGGGCTGTTCTGGTTGCAACCCCAGGACTTCTGCAGTTGCTCAGCGCAACAGAGGCAGAAGCTAAAGCAGCCTTCACCACATACGCGCGTTTAGCTCTCTGTATAATTGACAACCCGATCCAGCCAGTGCCGCCATCAACAACTGCTCTTGGCGCAGTCAGTGCCTTGTCGCGCGTTCTCTTCCATGCGGATTGGTATTCCCACAAAGCCCAAGCACTCAGAATCGACGCAATATGCATGGCCCGATCGATGCAAATCCATCTGCTGGACACGGTCCAAAAGCAAGACGAAAGAAAACGTTCAGGATACAATGCTATCGAAGTCGAGGTACAGAGACGAGCATGGTGGCACCTCGTCTCCTCTGACTGGTACACCTTACCTTCTCCAGCCTCACATTTCCCCCAAATCCACTGACAACCACAGGATCTCTGCATTCTCGCAAAGCCCACAAGAAGGCACCTACCTCATCCACCCAAAACAAATGAAAGTGAACCATCCCAGCAACATCGACGACGAATCCTTAACCCCCACAGGACCAGCATACAGCTTTCCCCTCTCAGTCCCAACCTCCATGTCCGTATTCATCTTCAGAATCCACTACGCCGAACTATGCCGCGAAATCATCGACACCCTAGGAACCACACTTCTCGAATCCACCCAACCCGACTACGAAACCCTCCTCGAAATCGACCGTAAATTCCACACCTTCGTCCAATCCCTCCCAACCTTCCTCCAAAACGACCCCGCCAGCATCCGAAAAAGCCAAGAGATAACCCAACAACGACCCTACCTCGCCTGGCAACGAACCGTCGCCCATCTAAGCTTCCACGTCCGCCTCTGCCGCCTTCATCGCCCCTACCACCGCGAAGGCCTAACGAACCCCAAATACGCCTACTCTCGACTGACCTGCATTCGCTCCGCCCAAACGGTCCTCGACCTTCGCCGCACGTTGAAAGACACAGGCGTTCTCGCCGGCTTCAACCCCTCCGATTACAGCCTGGTTATGAACCACGTTTTCTTCGCCGCTATGGTCCTGGCCACGGACGTCTCTATGAAGCCTACCGCTCCGGGCGCAGATACCCGCAAGCAGGAAGTGTTGGATGTTATCCATGCACTGGAGAAATCACAGAATGAGTCGGCGTCACTTATGGAGGCTATTCGGAAGAATACGCAGACATTGTTGTCGATCCTTCAGGAATCTCAGAGGGAAGTGCAGCAACAGGCAAGGTCGCCTGAGAGAAACGATAATATTGATGTGGCTTCTGGATCGGGTGGGACGATGTCGAGCGCTGCTCCGTCACAGTCCCGGGTCGTCGCGGTGGATGAGAGCATGACAAATGCGGCCAGCGGACGTCTTCCTTTGACGGACAGCATGCAAGGGTCTGGTCATGAAGATGAGGACCCAATGTGGAGCGGAGCAAGGAGGAATAGCTGGGGTCAGCTGTGGTCTGATCTCTTCAGTGTGGCGCCGGAAATGGATGGGCTGCAGTGGGATCTCTTGTTGAATGATTCTGACTTGCCCTTTCAGTCAGAATTCTATTGAAGGCCTAGGCGCATAGCCTTGGTTGACTATAGGCTGGAGATATTATATCCTTTCTAGGACGCAGACGCGATAGGACAAGCAGTTATGAGTAAGCGACTTTCTATACAAGGATCCTCACAGCTATTATACGGTCAAACCTAAATACAAACGCCAATTACCAATAACACCCCTTCCGTCCCATGGATCCGAATATGTGCCCCCAATGTACTGAACACCGATAGAACCAATGATATCTAGACAAAACCGGTCTACGATACCGAACCCGAAATATAGTCATCGAAGAAGAAAAAATTACAAGATGCGAAGAAATTGCAGACGACCAACCAATTTACCGAATGGTCATGGATTTGGTCATCTGAGCCTTGCTGCCAACACCACCCTCCCGAGAGGCCGCAGCGCTGGTTCCAGGCTTGCGCTCGAAAATCTTCCAGAACTTCAGACTCTCGTCAGCGGCTGCGGTGGCTAGGAGTTGACCGTCTGGGCTAAGGCAGCTGTGCAGCACACGAGTTTCGTGGGCAGGAATCTCAACGTTCCGGACCAGAGTGGGATAGCTCCAGATGCTCAGCGAGTTGTCGGGGAATCCACTTGAACTAACAATCTCGCGGTAGTGGTTGCTCCATCTCAAGCTGGTGACCTGGGAGCCGGTGTCGATGCTGTTCGTACGAGCACCGGTAGTAGTGTTCCAGAAGTGGATGTGGCGGTCATAAGAACCTCCACCAGTGGCAAGCAGGTTCAATTGCCAGGGGCACCAACTGAGGGCCTTGACGGCAGCGCGGTGGTTGGTCTTGGTGAACTTGGGCGCGCTGAGAGAGCGAGCATCCCAGATGTTAACCAGATTATCGTTACCACCGGTGGCAAGCTGAGCACCATCGGGTCTCCACTCCAGACCACAGACTTCAGAGGTGTGCGAGACCAGCTCGGCAACCTTGTGCTGTGCGATGCGAACGTCGTGGTTGAATACCAGACCACTGCGGGCACCGGTAGACAGTGTGTGCTTCGACCAGCCCATGACACCTACACGCGAGTCATGGCCAAACATACTGCGAAGCTTGGTTCCTTCCTCGACATCCCAGATTTGGACTTCACCAGTTCCGAGACCGACACCGACATAGGCGCCATCACCGCTCCACTTTACGCTGCTTACGTAGGTGTCAGGTGCAGTCTCCAGCAGGCAGCTGACAGACCCTGAGTCGGCAGACCACACGTAAACATTGCGCTCCAGGCCAATTGCAACCTGGTTGCCAGAGCTCCAATCCAGCAGATTGAGGTAGTAATCGTCGAGAAGACCAGGGGCGTCCAGAACACGCTCAGGAGCGGTTTGGACACGTCGGCGGAACTGAGCGGACTGAGATTTGGCAGGCTTGAGAGGGCGGTTGTACTGAGCGCGCAGATCAATGGGCTTGGATGACTCTGGGGGTGGCGGCTTGAAGGCCAGGATGCGAGTGTTCAGATTGACACCACAGGCATCTGCCAAAGACGACTCGTACGCAACAGCATCCGGTGCTGGCTTGGTGTATGAGGTCGTTGGCTCGTTATCCTCGAGTCCAAGGCTTTCCAGAGCTGCGGTGATGTCTTCATCTGTTCCGCGGCCACCAATGTCGAAAGCACTCGCGGCATTTGCAAGGACGGATGATCCATCGCTGCTACTGGTCTTTGGTCGTTGGCTTTCCTCTGGCTTGGCTGTGCCAGCAGTCACAAGTCCCTCACTGGCAGTACGGTTCGGGATAAATCTGTCACCTGCGTTGTGGGGAATGCGAACGGTTGTCTTTCCTGACCGCGTAGTCCGAGTGGTGATCTCCTTTCTAGGCGCTTCCTTTCTCGACACCTCCTTCTTGATTGCCTCCTTCTTCGGTGGTTCTTTCCTGGCCACTTCTTTGGTCACCTCCTTCCTCACGACCTCTTTCCGCAGACGCTCCTTGGTAGGAGTCTGTGATGAAGGACCAGTGCCAGTCAAGGCCCATTCTGATACACCCAGCTCAAGGTGTCTGGGAGACTTGCGCGTGCGAGCACGGGCGATGTTGGACTTGGGGGATTCGCGGTAGTTGCGGGCTGTCCTCGAGACAGACTTGGCGAAGTATGAAGAGAGGTTACCACCATAGACGGACTTTCCATGCTCCTTGCCCGATTCTTGAGCACCACAGGGAGGTGTGAATGGGGAGGAGTGGTTCGACGTCACACTTCCTGCGCGAGTGCGTGGTGAAGGCGTAAGGGGCATGCGGCCACCAGCCGTCTTAGTGGAGAAGATCCCATGGTGAGTCTTCACGGGAGTCGAAACTGTAGGTGTAGCCATGCTGATATATAATTACTTTTCGAGAAATAAGGGAGGGTATCGAGAGAGAAGTGCCTTCAAGGTCCGTTTGCAGGCCCAATCCCAGTCACGCTGGCTTGGACACAGGACGAAGAAGACCTAGCTGCGATACAGTAGTATTGAATGCAAGCAGGGAATATCAATCCCACGCAATATGGTATGCAATTAGTAGCAGATAAATGGCAAAGAACAAGGAAGAGGATGAAGAGGAGGAAGAGGAGGGGACGGGGGTGAAGGAGGAAAAGGGAGTAAATAAAGGATATAGTTCTGCTCACCCATGGCAACGCCGGTTACTGGAGGTACGGCTGCCCTAGTCCCGTTTAGGTTAGATTGCCACCTGACATGCGGCTCTTCCCTTTTCGGCGACGATCGGCTTGGCGCTTACCGTTTCTCCCCTTTTCATTTTCCTTTTTCTTCTCTTGCCGTTGACAAGAGACGTGGGGTCGCTGGGATCAGCATCAGTATGTGAGGAGAGTGTGTGTTACTACTGATTTATCTTTTGATTCACCATCTTTGCCTTTCGGTCATCCTCCTTTTCTGACCCCCTGGGCCCGTCTTTACTGTCGGACCCTAATGGCGCGGCTATCCTCCACTACCGCCAGGAATAGTAACGCTTCGTCGCCCCTTTCGCCGTTCCACGCTGACCCACCGCGTTGGACCGGGTCGTCCAGGACTCCTAACCCGATGACTTCCCTCTCTTCCACCCTTCAGAGACCGGCGTCCACATTCCTCATGCCGCCTAGTCCCAGTGATGGTCGCCGTAGCGGCGCGGATTACCGCCCAAGCATCCGCAAGGCACAAGGCCATGTGCCAGCCTGCCTGGTCAATGCTTCGGTGACGTATTGCAATAATGACCAGATCTACGCTTTTGGCGGCTTTGATCAGTACACGGATGAAGGTGCATATGCTTATTTCTCACACTGTCCATCATTCAAGTCTAATACTAATGTTTCTTACTTGCTAAAATAGTTTACAACCACGTGTTGCGTCTGAATCTTAATACTCTTCGGTGGGAACTGGTTGATAATTATGGTGACATTCCCGGTGTCCGCATGGGTTAGTTTCCCCGCATTCTTTTTGATACCTTCTGATAAGAAAACGCAAACCGTACTAATTCATACTCTCGGTCGTTGTAGGTCATACGGCCACCCTCTACCAAGGTGATAAGTTGATCGTGTTTGGTGGAGAAAATGAACACCGCGACCACCTGTCTGACGTTGTCATCCTGGACATCTCAACCTCTACCTGGACTCAGCCGGAAATCCATGGACCGATTCCCCGAGGAAGGGCTCGCCATGCCGCCGTCATCCACGATGAGAAGCTTTTCATCATGGGAGGAGTAACTGGAGAGAACAATGTGATCCTCGACGACTTGTCGTATCTGGACCTGAAAACCTGGACCTGGTCTCGCACCTGGAGATTCACGGCTCGTTTCGACCACATCGCCTGGGTGTGGGGCGGCCGCCTCTGGATCTTTGGAGGTCTCGATCCTGACATGGAACGTACAACGGATATCTGGTGGCTGGATCTCAAAGGCATTCCGTCTCTTGGAACGGCAACTTCACAAGGTACCGTGGATTCCCCAGCGCCAACCAGCAGGATTACTTATAGTCCAGACGCTATCTTTAGTAGCCCCCCGCAGCAGCTCTCGGGCCGGTCCGGCAGCTATGCAGCGAATTCCGGGAGTGTCCAAGTTCGCAATGGCAATCGTCGGAAACCGATCGCTCCGGGCGCCATTTCTTGTCTTCGGTTCAAGTCCGGCCCTCACGTTCCTGCACTGTTCTCTGGCACTCACTTCCAGGCCTATGCATCTGGGGTGCTCCTGGATCTGATTACGCCGTCCGAGACAGTGCGTACTTATGAGTGCAACCTGTCATCACTGGATCTGGACGCTTTACGTTGGCAGCGGTTGGCTGACGGGCAGGAAATCTTCAAGCCGGGCTTTAGATGGCATTATTGCACTGTGAACGCTGACGGTACCAAGGCGTGGCTTCTTGGTAGTAGCCTCGACACCGGTGCCACTCCCGGAAATAGTGATGAGAATAACATGAGCGAGGTACTCTGCATTGACCTTGAGAGATACGGCTTGCTGGGAAACGAGCTGTCTGCCTTTTCGCCCAGTCAAAGCCGAACGTCGCTTTCCGAACCAACGGGAGTGGGCTCTTTGTCCGGTTTAGGAGCAGACCTTTCGGCAGCGTTTGATCAACCACCAGAGTCCGGTAGCGGCGCAGACTTTATCATTACCGCTAATTCAGACGATCACGTTGACTCGGACGATGAGGTAGACATCCCCACCTCACAACCAGAGCCAGCTTTCCTCTCCCCCAACACACCTACTTCGCCTCCGATTCATGTGCACCGGATCATTCTGCAGCTGCGATGGCCCCACTTCAAGAGGCTTTATTCGGCTCAAATGGCTGAATATCATGCAAACCGGATGCACATCCCCGAGCCGTACTCGGTTGTGCGTGCGTTTATCTACTATCTGTATACAGATAGTATCGCCGGTCATTTGGAGTTTTGCTCTGATATCATCGACGTTGCGGGAATGCTCGTCATGGCGAATATGTACGACATGCCCAAGTTGCGTTTACTTTGCGTCAATCGCCTCAGCCGCGAATTGGATGTAGAGAACGCTGCAATTATCTGGGAGCGTGCAGGGCGCACGAACGAAGAGTGGCTGATGCGTCGTGCCGCTCAATTCTGCCTTGCCAATTGGGGACGTGTTGTCCGGACCGATGGCTTCAAGTCTCTAAGCCGGCAGAGTTTGATCGATCTGTGCGAGGTAGTCGACACCGAGGGTCGTATCATCGCTGGGCCCGAGCTGGAGATGGTTGGTGCTCTCGGAGAAGGATACGGATCGAATAAGGATCCGAAGCCTTCCCAAATGGCCCTGAGCGGTGCTATGGCTGATAATATGGAGGACATTGATGGTGATGATATTGATGGCATGGACATCATTTAATGTTGAGGAAGACTGTCTGGATAAAGCTTCCTTTCTTTTCTTTGTTCATTTTGTGTTATGGAGTTTTCTACCGAGCAGTTACGATACGGGATGGCGTGAAAACAGGCTGAGAACATATGTATGGGCCAGGATGGTATTATGAGTTAGGAGTTTGTAAATTGCGGTCACAATAGGGGGTATTTGCAGTATAGCGTTAGCAAAAATTGATCACATGCTTGATTTATTCATATTATAGCTGGCTTTTCATCATCGGCCTAGCAAGTAGACTGCTCTCCCAGATACATAGACATACAGCAGTCACATCAATAGTATCTCCACCACATCCACATCAATACAATTGACCCAGTAGAATCACACCCACCTCTGCCCCTCCCCATCAAACCCAATAACCTTGAAATCAATCCCCATCGTCTTCAACATCATCCCTATTGTGAACTCTTCCTCTTCCTCATCTTCTTCCTCATCCTACGACACAGATTAAATCAGCACATATCCAACCCACAGTACACAACCCATACACAACCAAGCAGAAAACAAACAGAGGGTGAGACAAACCTTCTCCTTCCCCCCACCCTTCCCCTCATGATCATGCCCATTATCATTCTCACCATCCTTCCACCACCCACCACCACCACCTATCTCTCTCTCCCTCCCCTTCCACCCCCTCACACCCCCCATCCTCACAACCCTCTCCCTCGCCCCCTCAAACACCTCCTCCGCAACCTTTTGCCCTACACCTCTCCATTTCACAATTAATCGTTCTAGCTCCTCATCTCGGCGAGATTCCTCGATGCGCTGCGCCTGAGTAACTGTTTCTAGTTCTGTGCGGAGAGAGGAGTCGGGATTGGAGGTGGCGGTGGGTGGTGAGGAGGGTGCGGAGGGTGGGGTCTTCTTCTTTGTTCTTCTCTTTGGGGGTAGGAGTATTATTCTTGGGGGTGGGTTTGGGAATTGGGGTCGTGAAAGATGACGGGTTGGGTTTGGGGGTGGCGGGGGTTGATGTGTGGGATTGTATTTGGGGTTGTGTGGTTGTTGTGTCTTTGGAGGATGAAGAGGGTGTGTTTGTGGTGGTTGTGGTGATATCTGGGGTTGGTGCTGCTGGTCTGCGCAGAGGCGATTTGAATGGTTTCGTGAGCGTTGATGAGGGTGATGAGGGTGATGAGGGTGATGATTTGGTGGTGTTGGTGGTGTACAGACGGCGGCGTTTGGGGTTTGGGGTTGGAGTTTGGTTTGGGTTCATAGTGTGTGTCTTTTTTGATAGACAGGTTTCTCTCGGGTTGAAGAGGTTGAATGGTTGAGCGAGGTATTGGTATGCAATTGGGATGGATTGTGGGGATGGTGTAAGTATGAACTTGGAAGAAGTATGAAGTGGAAAGTAAATATGCTTATCGATAAGACAAGTCAGCTGATAAGATAGATACTCAAATCAATTCTCTACATACTCGGTAGATGGTAACTAACTAGGAAGGTATCATTCGTGTACTTAAGCTAAATCAAGCATATACATTACTGCGAAAAGCACAATTCTATATCATTAATGACCTACCGCCCCAGCAAGCCAATCATTGAAACCTGGCTCGCCCGGCCGAGGAAACATTCCCCGATCATTATTGGCATTGCCTCCTGCCGCCGCATTCGCGCCGCCGTTGTCGTTCTGACGCTGGCGGTTGCGCTGCTGTCTCATGTACACAAGCACGAGCAGCGTCGCGGCAAGACTGAGAATGAGCAATCCCTCCAGAAAGCTATCATCAATATCGAGCTCCAGCTCGTCGTAGTAGCCGTCTTCGCGGTGGTCGTCCAGGCGATTGCTCGACATGAGTTCGTCCTCCTCATCCTGTTTGTATATCTGTGCGCGGAAGGCGGCCTCTTCTTCCTCGTTATTCTGGATAAAAGTGGCGATGAATTCCTTCAGGGTCCGATGCGATCTCACTTCTGCGTTGGTGTGTAAGTGTGGCTGTTCGGATCTTCTCAGCGGTAATTACGTGGGGGTTGCTTACCTTCTTCCTCCTGGATGGGATTGATGTCTCCATTCGTGAGCCAGTTCCAGTATCCCCGCATCCGCAGTTTAAGCAGACTGAGCTTCACGGGCAGATACGCCTCAGAGCTAGTCTCTAGCGCGAGATCGTAGTATCGCTTGGCCATGTGGAAGTCTTGGTCCACGGCAACACCATTCTCATGCATCCATCCCAGGTTCCAGTACGCCTGCGCGCTGTAGTGCACTTCGGCTGCGGTGTGGTAGCAGGTCGAGGCCTTCTCCGCATCCGCAGCAATGCCCATGCCCGTTAGGTAGTAATCGCCCATCTTGAGCAAGGAGTCGATGTTCGCCTGTTTGGCGGAGCGTGTCCAATAGATAAGAGCCAGCGCCGCATTTCGCAGCAGAGCTGGTCTGCTCTTCTTGGCTCCTGGGAGGATGGTGTCAATGGCGAACAAAGACCGCTGCTCGTCCAGCAGGAACGCAACATTGGACTGCGCATGCTCGTAGCCCTGCTCCGCAGCCATCAGAGCGGGGATGAATGCCCGTTCCTTGTCTCCGTTCTCATATGCGGTGTTCGCTTCCTCAAAAGATGAATGGATGACTTCCGCCCGCTCGGCGACCATCTTGTAGTAAGACGCGGCCATTCCGCAGTGTCGTTTCCGCCCAACCCCATTGTTGGACAGTTCTGCCAGGTAGTAGAAGGCCTCCATCCAGCCCCAGCGCGCAGCGAGTTCGAAATAGCGGGTGGCGGTCTGGACATCTCCTTGGTCCAAAAACAGGGCACCCAGTCTCGTTTCAGCAGCCGGGAAGTCCTGCTCAGCCGCAGCCTTAAAGTACGATGCAGCTCTGAACGCATCCGGTGTTACGCCATAGCCATGCAGGTACATCAGTCCAAGCTCATGCTGACAGAGCGCATCACCATTCGCGAGTCCACGCCTAAACCAAGTCTGGGCGGTTGCAAAGTTCTGCTCCACCCCCTCGCCCCGCAGGTACATCATGCCAATATGGCCTGCTGCTTTCGAAGCCAGCTTCTCAACACCAACAGGATGGTTGGGGTTCACCGACCCGTCTTTATTCCAGTACCGCTTGGTGACCTGTCTAAAGTAATTCATCGACTTGCGAAAATTCCTAGGCAAGCCGCGGCCCCCTTCATAATGCATCTTGCCCAGGCTGAAAGTAGCCTTCAGTTCGCCCTTTCTCGACATCAAGTCCAAGTACTCCAGGACGTCTTCCAAGCTGGCTTCCGTGCTCGAATGCGTTCCATCGCGCGCAGGCGTAGATACACTGGCGCCTTCACCATAAACACCACCCTCTTCGTCCGCCCAACGGTAGGACTCGCGGATCATGCTATTGCCACCAGGCGGTCCAGATCGGTAGTAATCAATAGCCTTGTCGGCCACCTTCTTGTAGTAATAAGTCGCTTGGTCGCAATCTCTAGGAGCCCCGATTCCAGCGTGGTAGCGATATGCGAGGGTCATTTCCGACTTCGTATTGCCCGCTTCGGCCGCAAAGGTGTGGTATAACAGGGCCTTGGCCTGGTCGCGCTCCACAGCACCCCCAACACCCGTTGCATACATAAACCCAAGCATATATTGTGCCGTACCATTGCCAGTCGACGAGGCCAAGGTCTGATACCAATGAAACGCCTGCTTGAAATCTCTCGGGTGGGTGAAGTTGCCGTAGAAGTTCATTTCCGCTAGGAGGAAGATTGCATCGGGGTTTTGGTCCTCCTGCGCCGCAATCTTGAGTTCGTTCGCAGCCTTTGCAACATTTGGATCGAGTTTCTGCTTGTGTGTCCCATCCGGCTGCGGTCCATTCATGAATAGGATTCGGAAGGCTTCTTGGGCGTAATGCCAGGTGTATCCCAGAAGGCCGGATGGTTTCTCGTGAGCGACTATGGGGATTTTGCTTTCTCGGAGGATTCGAAGGGCATTTTCGACGTGTTCTATTGGCACATCAGGAATCTAGTTGTTAGCAAGGATGAGTGCGCTGGCGTCATGCACAGGGCTGCTCACCGTGTCCCGGTAGGCTGTTAGAGCCCTCGGGCCCGCTCGAGGACTCAGCATGTGCATATGATTCAGGAACGACATCTGTTAAGGGTTCTTGTTTGTCGGGCTGTCCATTATATTCAACCGCAAGCACCTGCAGAAGCACTGGAAAGTGGTGCGTGGAGGTCAGTAGCTATCGCGTGATGCGGCTAAGCTCCACAGTGAGACTCACGAAGCGCCAACGGCAGGAAACGCCACAGCCACCAGTTCTTCATGTTGTGTGAGAGAGATGAGTAGGAGTGAACAGTGAGAGGCGCATGGCGACTCTGTGCTCGAGCTTCCGATAAGTAAGAGAGGGGGGAGGAGCTGACAGTGAAGATGAGCACTGGGAACTCGGGGGAGTTGCTTGCTCGGCCCCGATGCGGAACGGGCCACCTGGCGTTGCGGAGCTTCATTTCGCCGAGGTTCTTGGCTCCTTCACTACAATACTATCTAGACTACAAGTACATCTACTACTACTCTTGATCACTACAAGGCACATGTGTTGGCAACCATTTTCATTATTATTGACCTCCGGTCTCGTCCATAACCCATCTGCAGTCGTCTGTGTACAAAGCATAGGGATACTGATCGATCGCAGCAATACACGCAATAACTCGTCCTCGATGCAAACTCAGAGAAAACAACACCATCTCCGGAGAGGACCATCGTATTCTCATAACCGAGTCATGGTCCACAAGCATCCTCAAGTCTAAACGCTTGGTAGTTCAATGTGCAAAAAAAAGGGGAAAGAAAGCAAGCAAAACACAGAATATCACCAACCCACAAAACCGTTCGCAATTTCAGCAGGCTGGCTCGAAAAAAAGAATAAGTAGGAAAGGAAACTAATACGGGATAATAAGGGGATCGACCTGCAGGCTGACGCAAGAAGAGAAAAACATACAGTTTAAAAACGGATGGGTGAAAGGGAAAGGCTACAGGCGCCCCAAATTCTGCATGAAATAACCAACCAATTCCGCAACATACAATGCAAGATGTTTTTTTCTTTTGTTCCTCTTAGAGGTCGTCTGGGAGGTAGGTGATAGTACAATGATACAGCGAAGGTCAGAAAGGAGCAAAGCAACCATCTTAGGATTTCACTGGCGTGGAGATCTGCATGCTGGGTTAGTGACCAAATGATATCAATCGTTGCTCATGAGTGACTTACGTAGGGCTGAAAGCCGGCGACGTCGGGCTGTAGCCAGGAGACGTTGGTCCTCCAGGTGACGTCGGCGAGCCGGCAAAGTTGGGAGATGTGGGGGAGTACGTCTGGGGGCTCGTGGGAGACCACCCAGGCGAGGTAGGCGTGTACTTAGGTGAGGTGGGGGAAGTGGGTGACAGATGCCGGCCAACACCACCAACAGCAGGGCTTGTCGGGCTGTAGCTGGGCGAGGTTGGACTAAAGGCCGGTGAAGCCGGGCTGAAACTGGGTGAAGTAGGACTGTAGTTCGGCGACGTCGGCGAGAACCCTGGCGAAGTTGGCGAGTACGATGGCGACGTGGGAGATGCCTGGCCATACGCAGGAGAGGTAGGAGAGTATGCCGGTGATGTCGGAGCAAATGACGGACTCGCGGGGGAGAACCCAGGAGACGTCGACATGAAACGAGGACTGGTGATAGCCATACCCGGTGACGTGGGAGAATAGCTCGAGGTCGGGGAGTAGCCAGGCGACGTCGGGTTCGCGCTGAACGGACTGCTGGGGGAATAGCCAGCTGGGCTTGTAGCTGCCGGACTGAACCCGCCTCCAAAGCCGCCAGTAGGCTGGTATTCGGTGAAGCCACCAGGAGTCTCGGCACCCGCTTGGCGAATGGGAGAGAAGTTTGACTCGGGGTCGGGAGTGCCGATGTAAGCACTCTCCTGCATAGGCGAGCCCGTGTCATACTGGGTAGCAGCACCGTCGGAGATGATGGCATCCTTGGCGCCGATCGCTCCCATAACACCGAAGCGAGCATTGTTCGACACGACAGTATTCATGAGATTCTGGTCAAGGTAGATGTCGAACTCTCCGGTACCAGCAGGAGCCATTTGGCCCAAAATAAGGTTTTCAGAAACACCACGGCAGTCGTCCAGCTCTCCGAAAGCGGCAGCTTCCAACAGAATCTCGACGGTTTCTTCGAACGAACAACGCATGAGTGCACCGTTATCAGCACGGTTAATACCGTGTCGAGTGACGGGTGTCAGGTAGCCTCGTACAGTCATGACATCGACCAGCAGCGCCAAATGGCGGTGGTTGACATAAGAACCGTCGAACGCAAGCACCTGGGTCAATTCGCGAAGAACAGCTGTCCGTGCGGCTTCGATACCAAACACCTCGAAAACCTCGATAAACTGGTTGGAGTACGTACGAGTAGCATCGACACCGGGGATTGCCAGAACCTCACCCAAAGACGAGCCACTTGTTTCGAGAACCCACTCCTTGCAAAGCGGATCGGTCTTGCTAGCGAACAATGATCCATCTTCCAGAACTCTGACCTTGCTCTTCTCGTTGATGAACGCCCGCTCGACGCCGGGAACACCACGGAGGGTAAGAGTGTCAAGGAGATGCTGCTCCAACTTCTTAAGCGTAACATCGTATTCGATGTCGTCATCCTCCTCGTCCTCCTTGTAGTCCTGGATCTGACGGATACGGATGACCTGCTCATCGGCGTTGTTATCACTGAAGATGACAGCGATGTCCTTGGGGTAGGCAGCCTTAATCCTAGAAGCGACATCCTGCACAGTGAGACCCTTATCCAGAAGCTTCGGCCGACTGAGGATAATACGGAGCAACCACTTGGACTGGCGCGACGCATCATCCGTGACATCTTCGGGAATAATGAAGTAGGACTCAACCATATCCCGATCGTTTTCGATGACCGTAGTCTGAATATCAGGATCGTAGTAAATCTCGGTTGCTTCCGTAACGGAACGCAAGCTTGTGTGTTCGACAGCGCTACGCAGTTGTTTGGCGCCCTCTTTGTCAAATGACCGAGCAGCTTCCTGGTAGACCGTCATGGAGGGGGTCTTGATGTTGGTAGCAACGTTCAAAATTTCCTTTAGACGAGGAACACCCAAGGTGACGTTCTTGGACGAGACACCAGCAAAGTGGAAAGTGTTCAGTGTCATCTGCGTGGCAGGCTCACCAATAGACTGAGCAGCAAGCACACCAACCATTTCGCCAGGGTTGGCACCAGCCTTGGCGAATCGGCTCTCAATAGCTCCAATAACATGCTGGAATGCCAGCTTGTTCATGGAGTACTCCGTAACCAATCTGCGGAACGCGAGACGGCTGCGAAGCTGGGCCTTGAAAAGCAATGTCGCGTTTTCCTGAGCTTCACGTGAAATGATATCATTTCCGCGAACCACAAGCAAACGATCCAGCAGAGAACGCACCTGAGGGATGACCTCCGCGGGATGAAGATCGCTGATGGTACCCTCGCGGATCCTGAATGTAGTTCTGGCAGTTTCCAGAATACGCTGCACGTTGATCGGAAGTTGCATCATCTCCTCGTCTTCCTTAGCCACAGAGCGAAGGAACGCGCGATCCTTGAGAAGCTCCTCCCATTCTTCATCCAGATGTCTCTGGACCTCTACATCACCTGCGATTTCGTTGGCCTGCTCCAGTACCTCCGGTCCCAGGGTGCGCTCAGGATCCATCAGATCGACACGGAAACGATCACGGAACTTGTCATCCGAGCACTTGATGATGTCCACCCGCTGGTTCTCAATATGAGCACCATCAAGACCATCCTCTCCGTAGATGAACTGGATGATATCACCCAAAGAGTTCCGAACAGTGCCATCATACTTGACCATGACTTCTTCAAGAGCCTTGACCAGCTTACGTTGGATGTAACCGGTTTCAGCGGTCTTGACGGCGGTATCAATCAAACCTTCTCTACCAGCCATGGCGTGGAAGAAGAACTCGGTGGGTGTCAAACCACGCAGATAGGAGTTTTCAACAAATCCACGGGATTCGGGAGAGTAATCGTCCTTGGTGAAATGAGGCAAGGTACGATACTTGAATCCGAAAGGAATACGCTTTCCTTCGACGGACTGTTGTCCGACCACAGCAGTCATCTGGGATATGTTGATAGTCGAACCCTTGGAACCGGACCTAGCCATCTGAATGGCGTTGTTCAGATCCTTCAAACTCTTTTCGGTTTCGCTACCAGCCTCATCACGAGCGTTGTTAAGAGCACGAGACACCTTACTCTCAAAGGTCTCACGGACGTTCATACCGGGTAGAGGCTCGAGAGTGTTGTCAGTAGCACTTGCAGTAATCGACTCGACCTCCTTCTTCCTGTTGCGCACACAGTTCTCAATCCGCTGAATCGTAAGCTCATCGGGGATAGTGTCACCGATACCAATACTGAAACCGTTGTGCAAAAGCCAGTAATTGACAATTCTCTGGGCACCATTGAAGAAAGCAACAGCCGTACCATGACCATACTCGTTGAAGATAGTATGGATGACACCACCACCGCTAGCACCAACAGTCTTCTTAGAGAACATACCATACATCAGTTGACCGTTGTGGATGAGGAGACCACCGTCAGCCAGAGGCGAGAACTTCTCAGAAAGCGGAGAGTTATCCTTATCCACACGCAGCAGGTTAAGACCAGAAGGAAGCGCCATACTGATCATTTGCTTTCCTGTCCAGCGAGGTCTAGGCTTCAAGATTGCCGGGGGAGGAATCACCCCATCCCAATCAGGAACCCACATCATGATGTTCATGACTTGATCCTTGGTCAAGAAGACATCACGCCGGCAAATCTTGTAGATACCACACAGCGTATCCTGTACGATACCCATGAGCGGGCCGTTTCGCTGGGGAGACACAATGTTCATGGGGACCAATGCCAGTTGACTCAATTCCGCGCGCGATTCCTCGCTCTGAGGGACGTGCAAGTTCATCTCATCACCATCGAAATCGGCGTTGTAAGGAGTAGTGACAGACAAATTCAACCGGAAAGTGGAATAGGGCATGACGCGAACACGGTGACCCATCATAGACTCTTTGTGAAGAGAGGGCTGTCGATTGAACAGAATGACATCGCCGTCCATGATGTGACGCTCAACCTTCCATCCGTATAACAACTGTTGACCACCGGCTCTCTTGGCATGACGAAGATCAATGCGCTCGCCATTGTCTCGGACAATATACCGAGCACCCGGGTGTTCATTCGGACCGTTCGAGACCAGAGTCTGCAATTTCTCGATGTTGTAGGGTGTGACAACCTCGGGATAAGTCAAGGTTCTCGCGATACTCTTCGGCACACCGACCTCCTCAAGAGACAAGTTGGGGTCACCAGTAATGACAGTACGTGCAGAGAAATCCACACGCTTACCCATCAAGTTCTGTCGCAAACGACCCTCCTTACCCTTCAAACGACTCCGAATAGCCTTGACTGGGCGATTTGACTTCTGCATGGCCTTCGGCTGACCAGCGATATCGTTGTCCATATAAGTGGCGACATGGTACTGCAAGAGCGACTCGAACTCGCGCACGACGTGCTCTGGGGCGCCTTCCTGCTCACAGCGTTGAACATTTTGGTTCGCTCTGACAATTTCAGCCAGCTTATATGTCAGATCATCCTCACCACGCTGGCCGCTGGTGCTGCCACCGACAAGCACACTGGGACGAACAGGAGGGGGGGGAACCGGCAAGACGGTAATAATCATCCACTCAGGACGGGCATAGTCATTGCTCAAACCCATGATACGAACGTCCTCGTAAGAGATGTTACGGAAAACGTTCAACGCAACCTGCGGGGTGATAACCTTCTTCTCAGGCTGCTGCATGTCCATCTCGTCCATCATCTTGTTCGGCTTCCACGTTCCGACAAGAGTGATACCTTCCTTACGAATCTGAGGTTGGGCATTACCGCAACCACCGTGCATCCGAACGGGTTTGGAGTTCTCTTTCGAGAAGGGCTCGTCATCGTCCGGGGGAGGGTCGGCTTCGCAGATAAGAACGTCTTTGGACAGTCGCCAGATGTGGTCGAATCGTCTCTTGGGGTCTCGCATGCGCAGGGCTTCTAGAAACTTGGGGTCGGACTGGTTTCATGTCAGCAAATATGCCGTGATAGATTTGCCATCCCATAAGGGATGACTAACCGTATTGGCTTTGATCTTGCCACAGTTGTGGCAGACCGTCTCAAGCAGCTTCTTGATCTTAGTCAAGAAACCTGGAGCAGACGTTAGCAAGCGTGCAACATAAGACTAATCTCTCCTGGCTGGCGGACAACGTACCAATATGATAAACCGGTGTGGCAAGCTCAATATGTCCGAAATGACCAGGACACTCCTTCTGGCCTTCCTCACAAGTTTCACAGTTCCATTGCCGATCAATTGTTCCCAAGCGTGGATCGTTCAAACCCTTTGTGCGCGGCCGTTGCCGTTGATCGTCCTGTTTGTTGTGTTACCGCGTTAGCGTTTTGCCACGTTCAGTCGGTGTGAGCGGCACTTCAGGAAAAACAAACCATCGTCTCCGGATATTCAACATGGACCACACTCATCCGCTTGATCTCCTCGGGCGAGAACAAACCAAACTGGATCTCCTTGATGGTGCGCAGAGGCGCCTTGGAGTAGGGAAAGTACACGTTCGCCATGATGGTGGTTGGTGTCGTCGGTTGATCGTTCTCCGGGGGTATGCGATGACGAAGGAGTCGAGATATGACCGAGCAAGACAGAAACTGACGTGTCGGAAGCACTGATCTATAGACAGTCTAAATGGGCTGAAGCGACGATGCAAATGTTTGCGAGCAAACTGGCCGGCCTAGGCCTCTGGCAGCCCTTGCCACGAGGGCGCCTGCGACCTTATCCACCGACTGCGCGAAGCTCGAAAGGGCGGAAAAAAAGAGGGTCACGGTCGATCTTGGCGATATCTCCAGCTCGGAAAGTGATATCGCGATGCAAAGCGCGATGGTCGGGGTTGTTGGGCGATGGACAGGAGGCGTGTTGAGGTGATGAAAGGGAGACGGTTGGACGTCAGGTCAGTCGGCGATGGGGCAACGAGTTTTCTGAGCCGCAAGCTAGCGCGACCAACCGGCCCTTTAAAAGTCCGCAACGCTAAACAAATAGTGGGGCAAATGTGAGGTGGCAGTAAACTCTCCGCCACTCAGAGTGCAGTTACAGACCAATGACTGGGGAAGGCAATTGACAAATTTATGTGACCTCTTCACCGCCCGCTCGTCGCTTTATTTCCCCTTCGGCTTCAATTCACTTTGCCAGCCGGTATTTCCCATTCCCCGCCCGGCTTTATTTCATTAAATCTGTGGCTATTGACTACACTGGATGTTTGCGCCCGAGCGAACCTCCCGGCCTTCTTCGCAGGCTGGGAACTTACCGCCTCTTTTGTCGTTTGACTCGCTGACTTTGACTTGACGCTTGCCGAACCATTCTGTGTTAACCTAGCATCATGAATTTGTCTCTTGTTGATCCCTTTGTCCTAGCTCAGGATTATCCAGACACGTTGACGGAGAAGCTGAGTATGTCGCACTTTATCACTCTTCTACGGTGTGATCACTAATTCTATATCAGGAAGTGGACATGCGACTTGTCTACGGTTTAATCGCAAAGGAGACTATCTGGCGTCTGGACGGGTTGGTTACCAACAACATGCGGGGATTGCTTCAAGATCAAATCAATAACCGTGTCCCAGGTTGATGGAACAGTAGTAATTTTTGATGTGGAAACCAACGGGGTTGCGCGAAAGCTACGAGGTCATACCAGGCAGATTCAGTCATTAAGGTAGCTCATTCACACACCCCCTCGGCGCAATCCGCCGTACGCACATTAATGCTAACTACACTCGGTGTACAGTTGGTCAAGAGACGGCCGTTATCTTTTGAGTTCTTCTCAGGACTGGAAATGTATTTTATGGGATCTGAAAGATGGCTCCCGGGTCCGCACCGTCCGCTTCGAAGCACCCGTTTATATCGCAGAACTACACCCTTATAACCAGTATAAGAGCCCTTCTATTATCTAGCGGCTAGCACATTGCTGACGCATCCCTCCCGCAGCTTGCTCTTTGTAGCGTCTCTTTTTGAGGATCAGCCTGTCCTCGTGGATGTTTCGTTACCCAAGCCCGTCAAGCGCATCCTTCCATCCGCTCCATTTCGCCCTCCGCCTCCAAAGAACGAAGAAATCGACCCCGCCGTTGCTGCGAAACAAGCAGCTCAAGATGCGAAACATTCCACGTGTGTTACGATTTTCACTGCTCTAGGAAACCATATCATAGCGGGTACATCTAAGGGTTGGATCAATATTATTGAGACACAAACCTGTACCACAATACATTCCACTCGGCTCTGCAATGGTGTGGTGATCTTACTTCGCCTAGCGAGTAACGGTCGGGATCTACTAGTCAACAGCTCTGATCGCGTTATACGCACAATACTCATGCCGGATCTCTCGCAACTGGGTATCGATCTGGAGCCTACCAACATCAAACTCCAAGTGGAACATAAATTCCAAGATGTGGTGAACCGTTTGAGTTGGAACCATGTAGCATTTTCTTCCACCGGGGAGTTTGTTACTGCGTCCACATTCATGAACCCTGACATTTATGTCTGGGAGCGGAGCCACGGCTCCCTGGTCAAGATTTTGGAAGGCCCCCGCGAAGAACTAGGAGTGGTTGAGTGGCACCCTAGCCGTCCGATGGTGGTTGCCTGTGGCTTAGAATCTGGATGCATCTATACTTGGTCGATTGTGACTCCTCAGAAATGGTCAGCCCTGGCCCCTGACTTCGGTGAGGTCGAAGAGAACGTCGAGTATGTTGAGCGTGAAGATGAATTCGATATCCACCCGGCAGAGGAAATTCACCAGCGCCGTTTAGACCAGGAAGACGAAGTCCCCGACGTTCTCACAATCGAAGTAAACAAAGACGGCGCGGATGAGGATATTGTTACCTCATTTCGCATGCCAGTCCTTCTTGATATTTCGGACAGTGAAAGCGAGGATGATATCATCGCTGTTGGACCCGGGACGATGAGGAGACGTAGTCCAGGCGCAGCGCGAGACCGAACGAATGCCAATGGGGATGGTGAGAAGGACAGTGTAAGTGGCGGTAGGAACGGCAGCACACGAGGTCAGAAGGGTCGGCGGCGCTAATTTGTACTTGTGGCTAACACACTGCGTTCTCTCACTGTTCCGAGTGTTACTTCTGTCTTACTTTGCGAGTCATCTATTGGGTTATATGTCAGTTAGAGGGTTCTTGGCGTCTGGTAGGCCGTCTCAAGGGACATGGCATACTCTTCGATATACTTACGGTACATGATCGGTGGAGTTTCGGTGGGAGAGAAAAATGTTCAATAGAACCCATTTGAAGGGCTTTGCGTTATTTTCTAAGCCTTCCGTTTCGCTTCTTTTTCATCTAGTTCATTAAGGAGTACCAAATCAAAGGTGGCTGTTTCACAGGACAGCCACGATCATTGGACATTGTTAGGTCTTAATGGAGAGTGGCTGGTGTTGAGAGGCCTCAGGGGGTCCGTCACCACGAGCACTCAGTCAACTGCCACGGTGGTGCCATTGCCGCAGAGCAGTCAGCCTTGGTTGCAGATGTTTCCAAGAAGTACAACATTGAGGATGAGAGTTGCTCTTGGATTCTGGCAAAGCTGATACTCTAGATTCGTCGTGTCACTTCCGTGAGTCCCGACACCGGCATCTCACCCTCTTGAAGAGCTTGAATGATTTCTCAACTGGAGCAGTATTTCCTGAGACGGCAATCATCCTCATAGTGTGATTGACGATATACGTCGTGTCCGCGAAATCCTTGTGCCATTCGGCTGTCTGCACTAGAGTAGGCAATAATACAACGAAGATAGGCCTGCCTGCGTTCCTGGCATTCGTGCGTCAAACAAGCAGTGCTGGTAACGAGTTCAAGTCCATGAGTGGTTTTGTGGACTCTGCTCGCTCTGGTGTATATGCAATTCAGTATGATCCCGTCTCCTTGACGGGATAGGTCGTCACTTATTCTCATCGAGAAAAAGGGGAATAGAAAAAGAAGTAAACAGGTAGGAGGACCCTCCCACAAAAGGCTGTATATGGGTATCCGGAATGAAATTTGCATTACAGCCGGCGCTGCCGTTATTATTTCAGCATTTCTCAAAGGGACGGGCCGCCCGGCTTCCGTGCCTGGTATATGTGTAAGATGTTGTAAGCGTGGATTTCCTTGTTGAAGGCCTGTGACTTAACCTCCGCCGTGATTTGTCTGATTCTCTCCAAGTCCCAGTGAAAGATGCGACTGAAAGGGGCGAGGCTGAGCGTCTCGATACTTTCAGAGATTGCAAGGTTATACCAACGGGCTACCTTCTTCTCATGCTCATCATGGTGCCAAGGGTTGAGAGGCAACCCCACCATCTGATGGTCGATTTGAGTAAAGCCTGCCTCCTCAAGGTGTCTGATGGTATCCCGGGAGCTGTGCGCTATGGGCCTCATAGTATCTTGTGTCGCCTGCTTCAGGTACTGGTACCATTCCCGGAGTGCCAGTCCATCCAGGGAGCGATCATCGCAGCGGGGTTCGAAATCTATTTCCACTTGTTCAAACCATGCCCCAGGCTGAAGATGCCTTAGGATTCGCTTGTAGAGATTCGGCCAGCCCAGAACACTACCGGAACCCATCTGCAGGTGGATTAGATCCCAAGAATTCTCCCCAAGCGTCCATGGCGCCTCAAAGTCAAAAGGCGCGTAGAACTCGCAGTTGTCAGGGTGGTTGGGAGGCTGTATAGGTGCTAGATCTACCCCAGCCACGAAAGCATTCGGATACTTATGGGCCACGTCAATGGCCCAGATCCCAGTGCCGCATCCCAGATCTAGAATCTACCATTTGGGGGGTGAGGTGCATAAATTAAGCTCTCGGACACGCGTGCTACCGTGAACAGCTTATGGAAGATATCGAGACGGTCCTGCTCCTCTTCATCACATGGCAGCGGGTAAACTCCTCTGCGATAACCATGATATGTTCGCCCATTTTCTTCATAGAAGAGCCATCTGTTTGGAGGCCTAAATCAAACGAACAACAGAAGGAGAAGATCTCTGAATTAGTCGCCCGATAGTTGTAGAGTACTAGCGATTTTTCACGGCACGAGGAATAGGGATCTTGCGGGGCGTGGGGGTGTGCACAGTATGGAAAGGGAGAAGTACCTGGTATAACGGCTTGTCTGATCTGGACCCCCATGGCCATCATAAGGATCATCGTTGCCTGGGGGTTCTCGAGGAGGTTCTTGTCCCGTGAGGACGTGAATGTCCATGGCACCTGAGTTTTGCCTGGAACGGCCGGAATCATAAGATCCTAACCCTTGATAGCTATAGTTATTGCGATTCGGCGAAGCCATGGTGATTGGTGGGTGCAAAACTCGTCCGATTTCAAACATGAGACCCAGAAATCCAGGAATTGATTCACAAAGAAAGAATCCGTCTTTTCCTGCTCAGGATATGGTAAGGACACAGGGGTGCGTTCAATCAAAAACCGGCGTTCTTGGTTGACGGTAACGTAAGACGCCAATGTTAGCCAACAGGGTGTATGCAGGCTGTGGGTGATATCGGGGTATCGAAAGTCAGGTGGCACATAGAGGAAGCTGGAGTTCGGCGCCGCAAATGAGCCAATGAATGAATTGAAAGGTTGGATGGAGGAAATGATGGCAACAACAAACTCGCTGGAGATATCCTCAGCGGAACCAAGCACTGGCCGATGAAGGGAATTAAAGGAGTGGAAGAAAGAGGGGAGTGGAAAGCCGCAGAGTAAAAAGCCAAGGCAAGTAAGAATGATCCAAGTCCACAATAGTGTATTTTACCCCGAAGCCTGGAAATATGTATGAGAGCAAAGATGCACGCACACCCGTGCGCGCACACACACACACACAGTCACACAGTGGAGAAGAGTATCCCCAAATCTCGGCCGAGGCACAAGGAGGAATGAGGATACTAAATAGGAAAAGGAGGGAAAAAAAAGTCTCCTCCCCGCAAGGACAGGAAACCGTCGGGGGAAGAGAACAAAAGAGAAAGTAGCGGTCACGGCAGCGGCATAGGCGAGAAAATAAAAGAATTTATGAAAAAAAAATAGTATCGATAATAGCTAGTAGTTGTCAGGCGTTACGAGGAGAGAAGCGACTAAAGAACAACCATGGATCGGGGGAGGGACGATCGAGAGTTAGGTCAATTGGACTGGATCATCGGATCAGAAAGGGAAAATCCGATCCCGGAAGTTAGAGTCCATTTAGACGGCGGAGAGGAAGGGGAGGGGAGGAGGGAGGGGGGGGAGGAGGAAAGAATACAGTAGAGGGCAAAGGAGAAAAGGCAAAAAGCAAGTAACCCTGCCTTTAAGGTTGTTGCAGCCGCTGTCTTGACCCCGTTGGGCCCACGGGCGCGAAGGCGGGGCGGTTAGAGGGCCTGGGAAAAAGGGCTGGAATGGTGGGAAACGCAGGGGAGACAGACAGACAGACGGACAGACAGGCAGTGAGAGGCAGAGAAAGAGAGAGAGTGAGTAAGTGAGTGGACCAAGAGCACCAGAGAGATTAGGTTGGGGGGAGAAAATCAGGGCAAGCAGTAAAGAAAGGTAAACAATCTGGCGGCTAGACTGGCTTGGATTTGTGTTTGAGCTACTGCCAGTTATGAGACGTGGAGGTTCCAGAGTTCAGTGGTTTGTTGTAGATGGCATCTCTGCTGCTGCTGCTGCTGCTGCGAGTCAGGATGTGGTCGAGTACCGACATGGGTTCAGGATGCGTCGGGGAGGGTGGGAAATGCGCCTGGCTATCGATCTGGTGCCTTCCGAGCATCATTGGTTCCCTCCGGAAGTAGAGCCCCTCCGGCAACCATGGAACATGGCTTCCTTAGCACCTCTGGGCAGCTACACGCGGATCACTAAGGTCCTGACTTGTCTCTGCCTCTCTGCTGTGAGGGTCGTTTCTTTCCAACTGACGTCCGGAACCTGGATCAATAATCCGGTATTGATCCGCTGCTGCCATGTTTACAGTCCCTCGTGTCCTATCAATCAATCAATCAATCAATCAATCAATCAATCAATCAATCAATTCATCAAACTATCTCTACCCCTTAGCGACAAATAAAGATAAACGTCTGGATGGCGCTTCACTGCCTCCTCAGGGCGACACGTCCAACGTCTGTGTGCCTGCTGTCTGGTACCGATCCCAGGGTGGATGCACGATGTACTAGGTATGTATGGATGGTACATATTGACTAGCTTGCTAACTAACTCACTACTACCACAACATACAGACGCACTAACCAGGGAGTCTGGCTAGTGTTCCCAGGTGTTACCAGGTGGTGCACCCGGACCTACATACTACATGCTATATCCACAGGGGATAATCCTGGACACATAGGCTGTCGGTATATCATACGCATAAAATACATACAGCTTGTATCCACCACGAGTTCGAAGCAGGTAAGTAGCTTAGCGTCTTCCCATTTGGTCTTTGTCTCTCTTTTATCCCTTTTTTTTTTCTTCCTTTTGTTGTTCCTACTTTTTTCTTTTTTTTCTTTTCATTTTTGTCTTTTTTTTTTTCTCTCTTCCCTCTTTTTATTTCCTCTTTTTGTTTTGGCTCCCTTTTTGGCCTCTACTTAGCATTTCCGACCTTTTGACTTTTCCCTTTTCCGGTTTTTCTTTTCCATATGCTTTTCCCCTTTCGGGCAGAATTCAATTTCTCTATATCGCTATCCTTCTCTAGTCTACCACTTCTTCTCTATCCCCAGCATTTCCCTCCCTTTCCCTTCGCTTCCAAAAAGCCAAGAAGCAGAGCATGGATACCTAACTTCGGGTCGCCAAAAGCCAGTTCTCACCCAGATTGATAACTTTGGGTCAGTTCGAGGCTGGCGGTAAATGATTGGTGTTGAAGATGTCGCTGGTATTCCGTCCTTCTAGTACGACATCCTGCCTCCCAACCGGTACCAAAGAAGATTCAACCCTTCGTCCTATTTTTTGCCTGAGGCTCTGATACGAGTTCCCATTGCCTCGGTTCGCGGCTTGTATGTATCCGTCTTACCAGTAACAAGACGAGCAAGAAAATAACGGTGATCACAATAATGGGGGATCATCCGGATATACAGTGAGTGTGAGGGTGTACCAAAAGGGAAATAAAATCACAGAGGAAAATGAGGGAAAATAGAAGAAACAAAAAATACACAGGCAAGAAAACTCCACCAAAAACCATCTTGTCTAATGGCTTAGAGTAGGTTAGGGCAGGATCAGTTTGCCCGACGCTATAAAACGGAGGTTTGTGAGGGGGAAAATAACAATGAACCAAAGAGATTGAAACGAGCCAGGATCGAGGGAAGACAGCAACCATGGATGGGTCCTCAATCAAATTTAGTCCAAGTGACTTCCGGGCGGGATGCGGACCGTCTCCCACACTTAGTTGAATAAAGGAAAGTTTCCTCGGGGGAGCCACTAACGCACAATATCTCCGTGGGCCTAGCGGTCGCTGCCCGCATTCTCAGGCATGCAAGCGTCAGGCAGCGTTACCAACACTCTGGTTGAAGGATTTGAAGCTTCGGACGTGCTTCCCTTTCAACCCTCGCCCGTAGCGCCCGCAGCGCCCACCACAGGCAAACCAAAACCCGTTCCAACCCTCCATCGTTCAGGGTCACTAAACCCACGGCATTGCGTGCAGCCGCTCCGGAGTGGATCAATTTGCTGAGGGCGCTCCGTATCTGTCTCTCGTAGCGCTAGATACATTGTATCTCACTGGCCAGAGAGACAAGAGACTCAGACTCCTTACACGCACGCTGGTCGTTGGTTCCACTCGGGCTCCGTCCTGGACGACTACTGACTAGTAGCCCGTGGCTGTGGGCTTGGACATCATGAGTTCTGGTCCTAGTCTACTTCGTACTGGACAAGACTTTCCAGGAAAGCCAGGAAAGGATCATGATCGGAGATTATCATGATACTCATCACATCATGACCTCGTTGTGGGTGATCAGGAATAACTCCTCAAGTGGGGGCATGTTAGGAGGAAGAAAAACCCACTCCTTCTCGACACCTCCCACAGAAAAGAAAAAGAAGGTTTTACTCTGTACTACCTCAATTATTCTCGGGATTCTTTGAAGTGTTCCTCAGCCGTACTATCTATCATACCCACCACTTGGAAGATTAGTGGAAGTGTGGGAGGCTGGCTGGGAGGGGGCTACGTTACATCCAGCTATTCCTGGACGGGCTGCACCATGGAACTCAATATATCGGGACAACATGCTGGATCAGCGTTAGGAGCTGAGGCCTGTGATTCATCCCGAACGGTTGGACAAACAATATGTTAGGGGAGAGGAGGTGTGGAGGTCAAATAAAATAAGAATAATAAAAAATAAAATTGACATAAAAAATATAAAAAGAGGAAATCCAGAAGAAGGCTAAATTCAAAATCGAACAAAAGATCCAAGGCTCTCTCCCTGTCTGCCTCAATCTCTCTCTCCCAAAAAAAAAAAAAAAAAAAAAGCAAAAATCAGAGAGAAAAAGAGAGAAAAAGAGAAAGAAATGGAACTGGGCAGGTGGCGGAGGGATGGACGGTCAGCGCCGTGAGCCGGGCACACTATGTGCTTAGGTCGACGCATGTAGTATGTACTCCGTATGCAAGTTGTCCCTCCTGTACTCCATACATACATCGTACATGTGTCCTTCCAATCCATCCCATGGTCACCCGCCCGCTTGGCGCCCGAACCAGCCTGGCGTTTGGCCTAAGGGAACAGCAGTTGCCTTAATGTAGGAATCTCATGTTGATCGTTTCACCGCTTCCCAGACTCTCGGGTCGATGGTGATGATACATGCATCATCCTTCTATGCGTTGTACTTGGTGCCTGGTCAAACCGGCTGTTCTCACTTGCTCGGCCTGCATACACCGGAGACTTGGGATTTCCCCTTCCCCTTCCCCTCTCTCTCTCTCTCTCGCTCTCTCCCTTCACACACAGTAATCACACGCACTGATGACTGGTTCTCGGTTCTTCTTACCTAGTCTACTACACTAGTCTTTCAATTTATCTACTTGATGGCTGTGAACCATACAAGTCATACATTTTATTTCATTTCTTTACTGTATGTGGTACAGATGTGCATCAAGTCATTCATTACTGGATGCATCCAGAAGATAGGCCCTTTTTTAACGCTTGCTCCTCCGCGCTACTAGTACCTTCCTCAATGGCCACCTCACTTTCCCATTGTTCGTTGACAAGTCAACCTTTTACCCCCGACTTGAGTTCCACGAATCTCTGCAAGCCAGCATTGCTGCAAGGCTCGCATTTATTTACCTTAAACGACACAACCTTATAACCAAGGATTGATTTGGGAGGGGAGGAGGGAGAGAGAGAGAGAGAGAGAGTGTGTGTGTGTGTGTTGCTCCTTCCCGGCTATCTTCTTCCTTTGGGGAACCATCACGGGGCACGTACTATACTAGCTGGCTTAGTACTTTAGGCCCCCTCTCCAAATCCAACTAGATGGTTGGCAGCAATTACCGACCAGAAAATTTACCCCATTGAGGTTTAACTCGATCATGCAGTTCTGGGTAAATTACACGACCAGCAAGTTGATAGCCCCGATAGTTAGATGCGCACTCACTGCAGAACTATACCTGTCCTTCACCTCTACAGACCTACGGTGTTGGTTTCTAAGCAAAAGCCCCCTGCTTGCTCCGACTTCAGAATGGAGTCGTCGTGGCATCATCCACCGTCGACGACCGGCCCGGTTTCTAATGTTCCCCATCGGAAATATCAACCCATACGACTGCTGCCCCATGATTTGCCCAACCGTTTGGCCTTCGGAGTCGGCCGTTGGCCGTCAACAATCGACCTTCCTTTCGGGGATGATGTTGGGACCAGTTGCGGTCTGTTTATTATAACAAAAGCCGACTTCTGGTGCCGTGCATTGTAAAAGCTATCGGTCTTTTGTGGCTGTTCTTTCGAAATCCGGTAACTATATTATACCTACTATTATGTAGGGGGGCTTCAGCTAACGCAGTTACCGTACAATTTCTTGCATTCGTGTTTGCTTGGCGGAACGTGTCCGTCTATCATTAAGTACTGCTACTTTTACCGTTACGGTTCCCGTCCAATCAGCGAGGCATGGCTTGACATACAAAGGAGCCCCGATTATGAGGCTCACCATTGAACCTTATAAAGACAAGGGTAGCTGGGTACTTACCTACAGGAAATCACATGGTATCTACGACTGGAGACTTTCAGTTACTAATGGCTACTGCCAGCCACAGCCACAAATTGATCCGCGTCCGGTCAAGCAAAACGGCAATGAGGCATGAGGTATTATTAACAACGAATCTCCGAGTAGTCCGTGGGTGATTTTCATTCAGAAAATTCTTAGCGGGCACGGTCCTCATCGCGCTCTCTAAGATGGTCTTGCACTCTGAGTGGGGACTCAATGGCCGTGTCCATAAGTACTTAAATCGGCGTTTTATACAGCAAGGCGGGCGGTGCATGCCGCCTTCATAGCCTAGAACGATGGACTAGCGAACGGTGACAGGCAGAGTGGAGACTTTTTCATCTGAAGAAATCACCCCTTTCTAGGGAGGAATTCTGCATGTCTTACCGCTCTAGGTAGGTAGATAGACCGCGTCGTGGAGGCTTCCTTATATGTTTATTTTCTTTGGATAAATTCAACATCTATAGCTTATTAATACGGTTAAAGCTAGCTAGGCATGATCAACCCATAGTGGAGTTAGTCGAGATGTCATTAGAACAAAGAAAATAAACTAGCAGTACAAATTAGAGATGAACTATTAGTCGCATCACTGTCGATATGCATTGATTGCTATAATCCAACAACTATCCTGACATTTTTCAGTTTCCTGTTCTTAGAGTAATTGCTACATGGCAATATTTGTGAATGATAAACTCTGCGAATGTCCTAGCATACGTGTCGCTGGTTAGGTTTACTACTGTAGTTGTGGTATAATGATCAGAAAATAAAGTTTGACCTGAATATTTATATTCCATACTACCACATGAATATACCCAACACCATGTACAAACACCGACATCGCTCTCAACTTCCCTCCAATCTAGACCACAAATCACATACCAATAGCTTCATCATAGCGACCAATATTATATCCCATAGTAGAACCTGGTATAATTACTTACTAGTCAAAGAGAGGAAGGAGACCGCGCGACCAGCATAGTCCCATTTCGTCCCCTTCCATACCAAATTTCTCCTAATAATACTTCCTACTACTTCCTCCCGTTAACAGGGATTATGATCTCGACCAGCAAATATTACTTACTGCGTACATATTATATACCACCATGCACAAAACCCATACACAAATCTCCAAACCTTAATTTCAAACCATAGATAAATAGATAGAGGATATGGAAAAAATAAAAACAAAAAAAAATTAGTCGCGCCCGGGATCGAACCGGGAACCTTCTCGGAACCTCATCAGATAATCATGATGATGTGAACGAGAAATCATAACCATTAGACCACGCGACTGAGATATTAAAGTTTGAAAAATTTTTGGTCTATAATTCCAAAATTCAGCCAGATCCGGGACCGGTTAGTTATCTTATCGCGCCGAGTTTGCAAACCAGTGGGTGGTGGGTGTTGTAGATTGTAGTTAGATTTTTTTCAATCACCCTAGGGGTCCTTCCTACACTATCTATCTATCTATCTAACCCTTCGCGCTCGTTGGGTCGCTTTGTTTCTGTTCCTTCTTGTGAGACGTGTGTGTTGGGGGTTATTTTACATAGCGGTTCTTTTCTTTCATTCTTTCATTTTTTTCTTTAATTTACACACGCACGCGCCGTTTGCAAATCCACCGATCGATTGATCGATCCGTCGAGAATCAGTCGCATTCAACGAACGACCTACCTACCTACCAACCAACCTACCGAATCTACTACCTCCGAACCAACCAACCCGCCTCCCATCACAAAAAAAACAAAAACAAATGGACGCTCAAGCCTACCTCCTCCGCCACGGCTGGTCCGGTCCCGGCAACCCACTCAACCCGAACCGACGGCCGGGCACACACGGCGGACTCGGCCTGACGAGACCGATTCTCGTTGCGCGACGCCAAGGCAACCAAGGCGTGGGAAAGAAGACGACCAAGGATCCCACAAATCAATGGTGGTTGCGGGGATTCGAGGACGCGCTGAAGGGCGTGGGCGATGAGAATAAGAGTGCGGGGGATGCGAAGCGCACGCCGAATGCGTTGACGAGTGAATTGTATCGGTATTTTGTGAGGGGGGAGACGGTTCCGGGGACTTTGAGGGATAAGAAGAGGAAGGCTGAGGATGAGGATGATGATGGGAAGAAGAAGAAGAAGAGCAAGGGAGAGGAGAGTAAGGAGGAGAGACGGGTGAGGAGGGAGGAGAAGAGGAAGAGGAAGGAGGAGAGGGCGAAGAGGAGGGAGGAGAGGAAGAAGAAGAGGGAGGAGAAGGAGGTTAGGAGGGCGGAGAGGGAGAAGAAGAGGGCGGTTAAGGAGGAGGAAAAGAGGATGAAGAAGGAGAAGAAGAAGGAGAAGGAGGCTGGTCCTGAGGATGAGTATCCTACGCCGCCGGCGACGGAGGTGGAACAGACGGAGTCGAGTGGGAGGGATGAGGAGGTGAAGAAGGACAAGAAGAAGAAGACGAAGACGACGAAGCGAGAGACGTCTGCGTCGGATGACGGGTCGAAGAAAAAGAAGTCGAAAAAGTCCAAGGATGAGACAGCGTCCTCGAGTTGAATATGGATGAATGGGATAGAGGGATGCTCTTTGGCAGTTTATAGATAGATTCGACTTATAGATACCCATGGCTGTGCTACTTGGTTGTATATTCTCACGAACAATATTTGCATTTTCATCATCATTTTTTTAATTGTCATATCATCATGCTACTTCCTTCGCCTCTGCAGGCAGCTTTCCTGGCTTGCCGGAGAGAATCCATGGCCGTCTCTCCCAGAATTCATCCTTGATGATGTCGACATGGTCGACTACGACCTGCACTTTGCGACGCAATTTGCGGATCTTTTCTTGCTGTGTCTTGGAGGGCGTGTCCTCTTGTAATGGCGATGTTTCTTCTTGCACGCTGGAGTCTGATTTGTCCTCTAGTTGATACTGTACCTAGGTCAGCAGCCACACATACGAAGCAGCAGAGACACACATACCTGGCGATAGATGACGCTGCCCTTTTTATAAATTTCTTCTTCATTGTTATAGTTGATGCCGAACCTCTTGAAGAGGATTTCATTCTTGTCAGAAGACAGGGTGCCCTAGTCGACACTGTTAGCAGCAGCAGCAACTCCTGAACGCCAGAAACTCACCTTCAATTCAAGTTCAGCTTCTCTTCTATCCATCCCACCTTGCAGGACCATGGACCAGAATGTCGTATTGTAAAGGTTATTGATATGACCTGCAGCATATTAGCACACGAAGAATGGAACGGCTAATGCTATGAATTGACAAAACTCACAATCCACCTGCCGCCAGCTCATATAATCCCTGAAAATTCTGGAGTTCGGGTACATCACTGCTCTTCCATCGAACGAAGGCAGAGCTGCTGGCTGCAGCGGCGTATCGGGGAAATACGTCCCCCATAGATAGATGTAATGCGCCGTGAATGTCGACACGATTGTCGTTACTAGTTTGCTGTATTCCAAGCAGAGTAAGTCCACACTGCCGGCAGTCTTGACTTTTTGCAGCAGTTGCAGCAGAAGAGGAGATGACTTACGCACTCCGCCTTTCAAATAATTGGCAGTTGGGATGAAAAGCGAAACTAATCTCAAGTCAATATCACTCCATTTGACCCGGAGCATGTCGCATCGTATACCTGTACTCATCGCTAATACCGTAGGCGATGCAAAGATCAGGAAGATCTTTCATGACGCCGACGGCTGCGGCATTCATTAGGTCTAGGGCCCGACGGTCATTGGGCTTTATGAAGCCATAATAATCAGAGAGTCTACATTCCGTCAGTTAGCGACATGTAAACAGCCAGTTATTGAGATAAGAGCTATTTCAGCTGCTAAGAGCAGTTCCGAAAAGTGCAGCGTCATGTTGAAAAGCACGAAGAGAGATGCACTGACTTGTGGAAGCCTCTGCCATCGATCCGGACCACAATCCATGTATTGGGAAGTAGAACGTCCGGTTGCTCGAATGACTTGACATATTCATATCTGTGGCGGTTAGCAGCTGCTCTCAAAATTTAGGTCATGAATAGAAAAGTTACTTGGAGTTTGCCATTTTGCTTTAGACTGCAGTATCGGAACTGCCGATGATTGTTGTGCAGGAAAAGCCGTCGGGCTGGCGAGGGAGGATGAATCATGAAGATTTGGGTGGGGATGAGGGACGAACCGAACCGTCCCTCCACGCAGCGTTGCGCTGCTTTGCACCACCTGCTCCTAGCAGGTCTGGTTGGTATAATTTACTCCGACGACAATGCTCTCGACTAGAGCTTTCGCCTAGATTACTACAGTAAATTGCAGGTATACAGAAAAGTGGATCATATCAAGAGGATAAGAAAGGCATGCTATGTGCCACAAAATGTCTTCTACCGTCACTAGCTAAGAAATTAAAAGAATGCCTAACGCCACACGGCGACCTAAAAAATGAAATAGAAAGAATGGATGCTGTATGTTCATGCGTGGATCTCCTCTGCTGTCTCTTCATCCTCCGCCTCGCTTACATGCTCACTGGGGCGCTCACTCGTCTCACTGGCGGCCTTGTCGGACTTCCTGGACATGCGGCTGAAGAATCCCAGGCTGCTTCGAGTAGATCGGTCTGCTGAAGGGGCGCTAGACACGGTGCTGTCCACACTCTTGGCAAGCATCGCCTCGCTATGTGCGTCTTCGTCAATGTCGCCTTGCGAAGGGTCACCCTTCTTGGAGAAAAGCCCTGACCGGTCCTTCCAGGAACTGAACTTGCTGGAGCTGCCCTTTCGGGTGATCTTGCGAATGAATGACTCTTTCGAGCTTCCATTATCCAGCGAGCCTGCGGAGGGCATGCGTTCCAAGGATTCATACGAGTCGCCTGTGTACATAGAAAAAGAGCGAGAATCCCGCGAGGTGCGCGATTCAGACGGAGAGCCTTCTTCCATATGGAAGTCAAACGGAGCATCTAGCTCTCGGTCTTTCGCTGCCTCCTTCTCTTTGCTCTTGTCCGACCGCTTCCCAAAGATGGTCCTAAAGGAAGGTGCAGCAGGATTCAACTTTGGAGTGACTGGCCGATGAGAAGATGATGGCCGTGTACCGATCGGCGCCTGCAATGGCCGACCTTGTCTCTCGAACGAATCTTGGAGAAAGTCTGGCTCTCCAGTAAGGCCCAAAGGTAGGTGACCCGATGAGCCGTACTGTGTAGATGGCCGGCGCGACTGCACCCGAGACCAGGTCGATGGGGAGGTCCAATCAAACCCCAAAGGACTTCGGTGGCCTTGCTTTTCTGCCGATGGCCAACCGAAGTGACGATTATCGGTAGAGGGATGAGGAAGCTGGTTTTCGAAAGAGAAGGTCGATGAGGGCCGCGGAGACAACGACTCCCGGCGCACTGTGCCCAAGATGGAGGCAGGATCGATGGGATCATGACGAGGACTGAACTGGTTGTATCCTGTGCTATGATCGGAGTTTTCACTGGATTTGAGCAGACCGTGTCCGCTGCCGAACCCAAATCGGCTGGGTGAGAAGATGCTGGAGATGCCTGCGCGACGCGAGGGAAGATGGTCGGAAGAGCTGTCTGTTGTAACACCTGCTGTGTTGCTCCTGGGGAACAGAGACATCGGGTTCGCCCAGTTGCCTGTATAGCTCAGCCGACGACGTCTAGCCCCTATGGGATCCATCTCCTCCAAATTACGGGGGAACGACTGACTTTGTCCTGGTTTCAAACTGCCCAGTAGAGGTGGCTCGTCTGCCAATGTCTTGCCGCGAGGACGGTGGAAGCCAAAGAGCCCCGAAAGCCTGCGCGACGCACTTTTCGGCGCCTCGCCCACATCCAGATTCACCGGTTGCGATTCAACATCTTTGGGCAGGGTCTGGTCCTCCGGACTGGCGAAGAGGCTTTCCGGCCTGCTTCCGGTAGAGTCTGGCGAAGGTGGCCCATGAGGAAACTCGAGCGCAGTGCTTGGTTGTTCGAGGTTGGAAAAGCGAGAACGGATGGCCGGACGGGGGAGTTCGGGCGACTCCTCGTCTCCGAGGAGATCGGACGGAAGAAGTGCGTCGGCGCGAGGGCTCATTTGAGGGTTTCCAAGCGACATATCCGAGTATCCCCGCGTACTATCCGACTGGCCCGAAAGGCTCGGGAGGGTCATTCCATTGTTGATGTTGAAGAAGGCAGAAGTCGGGCCAAAGGTGGGAGACCCAGTGGCAGGAGGGTTGTAACTGATGCCACCTGAAAATGATGGCTCTATGGCAGTGAAATTCATCGGAGATGAGACATTACTGGCGAGTGAGCTGCGGTGTCGACGTGGGCGAATAGTCGCAGTGTTCGAGAGATCAAGATCGAGAGCTGGGAGAGAAAAGGG